GATCTGTGGAGTTCTACAGTGGACAGATTTTTTTCCCTCCTTCTCTGCCAAAAGGAGTCTGTCACAGCTGGACTTTTCTCATTGGGTCATAAGCCTTGTGTATTGGACCTCAAGCGTATAAAACTTCACCATTCATATACAGTGTAACATTAGATAGTTTATGGCGCTGCATTATGCCGAGGCTGGCTCTGGCTGAGAGCAGAGGCAGGGGAATGTTGTGGTCAGCGCTGGGTCAAAGACTGTCAGGGCTCAGGGCAGGCAGAGAGCCAGCCTCAGTACGTGTCTGCCCTGAATGTTAATGGATTAGCGCTCGCTACACATACGGCCAGACTGGGAAACTCAAGATGACTTTTAACGTGAAAGGCCGCCAATAAGTCGCCATCATAAATTCCGGGACACATGCTGCCTGTATAGCAGCATGGCAGCCAGGCGCGTTTCCTCCGGGAGGCCGGGGGCCGAGGGACCATGTGATGGAGAATGGGGGAGCAGGTGGGGCCTGCGTTGGCTGACCTTGCTCCACAAGATATGATCAGAGTATACTGGCAGCTGCAGCCTTGCTTAACAGGACCCAAGGTATCACGTAGAGTAGGTACACAGATGCAGTTCTCACCTACTGACAACAGTGCTAGTCTTACTGTCACCCCACCCTCCTCACTCACTGCAGAGCATTCAGTGTGCACACGGTGTTTTAAACCCAAACCCTGCTGATTTTGCGTTTTTCCACCCCGAGAACAGCCAATTCTGTTACACAATTTTTCTCTTAATTGCTCTGAGCGAGTAACTTGGGCTTGTCTAATGTGAGTTTCCACATGGCAAAGAGAGCCACAGTTGTTGTGCTCAGACTCTGCAGCGACAGCCCTAATCACTATGTGTAATTTAGCAGCAGGGGACAATGAGCTAATCTTGCAGGAGAGCATATACTCCCAATTTAAAATCAATCAAGATGCATTTGGATTTTTAGTACCTCCACTTGAGCTGTGCTGTAAATAAGAGGTAGGTTCAGAGCACACGATTGTTCTCTGCCTGCGTGGGGGGTCGTTTGAAACCCACTGATGGATTCACAGCACATTTCACTGCAGAGTTTCACACACATTCTGACACTAATACGTCCCATTTTTCCTAATATTTTTTCCTGCTGCACTGCAAGTAATTAGATATAATTATGTCAGTGGGTGATTTCTAGCCATTTACTGAAGAACTGACTTGTGAGCAATCATTAGCAGCAGCAATTATTTAAACACTTGCAAGAAACACAAGTGACACATGCTGGAAAAGAAAAGTTATGGTGTTGGAATTTGTAATCCAATTATCTTATTTGAGTGAATAAAACACTGTGCTGTGGTTTCCTATGATTTTCTGTCTCTAACCACCGAGGACTTACTTAATTCCTTCAATCTTCCTTTTTGCTTTCTCTCCACAAATTAATTTATGGTCTAATTACAGGACAAGCCTCTAGATATGAAGGAACACAAATCACGAGTCCTTACCAGATGGCAGAAAAACGGCACAGGATAATTGAAAATCTAGAAGTGGATCAATATTTAGAAGCCCAAGGTTACACGAAGTATGACACTACTATTAACATGGGAAAATGATGCATTGCATCCGCAGGCAAATTGGCCTCTGTTATTTGATGGTGACTAAGTGCTGTATGCAACACTTCCATGCAGTGCTGGATTCTCAATCACAAAGACTAGCTTTAAACTATCATGGGTTAACTACATATACATCCAGCGCGAGCTCGTTGAAAAGGCACAGCTGCAGCCATACCACCGGCCATGTGTACACACGTGTGTAGCTTTGGCCGATGGTGTGGGGATCATTTCTGCAGGTTTCCGACAGAATGTACCATAAAGGCTCAGAGTCCCATCGTGCCACAGACTACCCCTGGCTCACCCCACCCTTCTCCTGCATTTACCTCTGGCCTGTTAAAAATGATATCAGCTCATGGAGGGCAAGCATTAGCATTTGCATTTTATTGGAAGCACAGAGATTTAGAGCAGAGGATATATCAGCTCTGAGCAGACAGAATTAGTTAACAATGCATTACCTGCCTTTTATGGCAGCTATAACTCTTTCCCCTGGTGGGGAGAGGAGATGGAGGGAGGAGTGGTGGTGGTGGTGGTGGAGGGGTGAAGGGGAAACACAGCCAGCAGAGTGTTGGCGGTGAGAGCCATGGTGCAGTATGAGAGGGGGGGGGGGGCATTTAGCAAGAAGAAGCTTTGTCTATGGCGCTTTACTGCACATTAAGTGTGATAGCCACCCAAATTAGAGCATCACATCGCAATCACCTTCACACAGATCAGTGCCCTGCGCTGAGAGATGATGCGCCAGTCATCACTGCAGACCTTTTCATCTGGTCCCAACAAGGAGATGGAGACACAGCTGTTTGGCAGCTGTGCCTACATGATCACAGCACGAGGAAGGCCACATCAAATTACACCGGCCTCTGTGATACTCATGATTTACAGCAGTCGAACAGATTTTTCACAGTTTTTCTGAAACCAAAAACCAACCTCTATTTCCCCCCCCCTTACATATGAGGTAGTGGTGTGTATTGTACTCTGCGGTGTGTTGGTGTTATCCGTATGAGTGCACACTTAGTTGTTTGTTGTTTTTAGTGGTATCCTTGAACAAGCTGTGTTACACTGATGAGGCCCGCTGTGGCAGTGCCTTCCCTTAGCACAGCTGCACAGTAGCTCCCCTGACACTCATTTGGTGTAATGTGTTGCAAGACGACCCACCTCTGCTGTGGGCCAATACCCACTGGAACTCATTTGCACTAGAAGTTGCTGGTATAGAATGGAGTGTGTTTGAAGTGCAGGGAGGCTGCTTTGAATAAATAAATAAATAACTGTACACTAAAACTAGTGTACAGACTTTGCAAGACAGACCAAGGTAAAAAAAAAAACAGTGTTGGTTCCTCTGTTTGAAATCCTGCAGATTAAATCAAATAAATTGTTTAATTCAAAGGTAAGAGTGCATCAAGAAAAGCTGAAACCTGAGTCACAGATTGTTCCCTATTGACCCTGACTCCACGACAGCCATTTCTAGAAAAATGCTCCAATCTGATTGTCCTCATTTTAGTTGTTTGGCATCAATGAAGATTCTGTTGACCAGGCAGCAGAACTGTCTCTACATCTGTATTTGCCACAAACACATCACAGCCAGCGCTCCCATGAGCACCACTGTGGCTTTCCCAACCAAACCTTCTGGCCTGGGTTTGTCAGCAGACAGCTCCAGGCTCCATAAAACAGCCTGCTGCTCGCTCCCTTTGCCCAGCTTAATGGTCCCAGGGGCTGGAAATTTACTAGTGACCTTTGCATTCCATTTGGAGTGTAAAAGCCTTTTTGCTAGGAAAATTCCATCACTTTAGATGTAGCCGAGCAGCACTTTGTGCGTGTGTGTGTGTGTGTGCGTGTGTGCATTGGACAGAGCAAGAGAGTCACTATAAAAGGCAGCAAGAAAGAAAAAGAGGGTGGTGAGAGAAGAGCAAGGATTAGACTCAAGCTTCACTGGTAGTTTATTACTAATGTTGCAGTTGTTCCCCCGCAGTTGAGACACTACTCTTCCACGTCCACATATATTTTCTTTATTATAGCAAACACCTCAAATCTTTCATTAATAACAAATGTCCCATATTTGTCATGTGGTGGACAAATTGTGACCAAATAGACACTCCTCACACATCAAAGTTCAGCTTTGATGGATATTAGTTGGTGTGCTTGTCAATCCTTCTTCTCTTTTCTTGAGTCAGTTTAGAATAGAGGAGAAATTGCTTTTCCTCACATGCTGCAGCATTGAACAGTCTGTGTATTCTATTTGTCATTAAAGCTTTGTGATGCTTCCACTTATTTTTTTAAATGACTGAATAATTAGTTGTAGGTTGCCTTAGCATACCATACTGTGTGTGGTACCTCTATTTACTGCACTATACACTGCATTCGAATTAAAAATAAATCTATGCGAGTTTAAAAACTGAGTCACATGAGTTTGCAAGTGGCTTCAGCAGATGTGATGTCATTCAGTGGACATTACAAAAAAACATGCACATCTGAAAAGACTCATAATAGATGGATCAAAAAGATGAATTCATGTGATGTAGTTATAATGAGCAATGTTAGGTGTTTGAATTGTGAATGACTTGCATAAAACAGTTGACTTTTACACCGGTGTTATTTAACAGTGCCATCTGCTGGGTGAGAGCAGCTGGTGCTCTTCTTCAACAAGGAAAACACTTTAAACTGGAAGAGTGCACTCAGGAGAGCAAATACCTCCACCAAGGCCCCACAGATCCCATGTGAAAACCCATTTAAATGCAATATATCAGTATTTTTATTTGGACCTGCACCCACGTTCACACATTCATTAATATCAGTCCCCTAAACATGGCTTTGTTTTCACCCAAAACCATGAATCATTCCTGTAGAATTTAAAGGACAATGTTGAAAAATCTCACAATGGTACAGAAAGTGAAAAAAAAAATCTGGGATCCCACCATCATTTATTGGATTCTCCCCTAACCCATACTGCATCCTTCCACCAAATGTAATGGTAATCTGTCAAGTACTTTATGTGCAATGTGGCTTACAAACAAGCAAACACAGCCTCCTTGACAGAGTTTATAAAGTCTTATTTTGACAGAGACCACATCAAACAGCTTCAGTCTCATATTTGAGACTTGAGGTCTTTTTTATTATTTCCCCAGGACAGTTCTTTTCCCCACCTGTTATTAGGAAACATCATAATGTTAAGCTATGTTTTATTGTGGTTTATTTAATACTCTTGTTTCATCCAAAACAATATATCTCATCCCTGCGGTCTAGGTCTCAAGTTCCAGTCACATCATAAAATAAAATCCAACTGCCATTTACTTTAACACTGAAAATGTTTATTTAAGAATACTACTGTACACATACTTTTAACATTTAATTCACACAAGTAATAGTCTACTTGAAAAAAATTGCCCCAGGAATAAAGTGAGAAAGCCAGAGGGGGGGTAAAAGGACAAAATCATTTTTAATAAAGGGAAATAACAATAGAAACATAAACTCAAGTGATTTAACTTCTGTATGTGAACGGGAGAAGGTCACAACCTCCAGTCACTGTCTAATATAGCTTTGAAAAAAAACAACAGCAAATGTCACCTGTAGAAACTAAATCTTGGTCCTCAGAGTTCAAGTTGGAAAACAGATCTACATTGGGAAAAAAAAAAATCAATATCCAGCTTGTGTATAAGTTCTAGCTCAATTTGCCAACATTGTCACAGAAAAATATGAAGCATAACCAAGTTACTTGTCACAACTAAATCCAGGATATGAATAACCCAACCAGGGACTGGTTTTAATGCTTGAAATAATCATGACCAAATTATTTAAGGGCACTCCAATTCATGTCATATTTTACACTGTTCAAAATGTACATCTATCAATGGGAGACTAACTACAGGGTTTTCAGCATAGATTGGTCTCACAGTCCAAAACATCATCCTTTAGCCACAAGGTGGCAGAGCTCAATGGCTGGTGTTAACGCTGGTTTAGTTCAATTGAGAGAAAGTGAAGATTGTCTAACCTGTGTAAATGAGACTGGTTCAAATATAACACTTCTGTTAAAAACAGGGGTTAAAAAATAAAATAAAATAAAATAGTACAAAACTCAGTAAAATCATTTTATTGTCCTTTCCTTTAAATGGTGGTAGCATAAAGAAATTAAAAAACAACACAACGTTCACATGTTAAAACTTGGAAATCACAAGAGATAAAAAAAAAAATTACATTTTAAAAAAGGTTTAACGAGGGTATCATCACTACATTATAAAGATATGAATTGGCCGGCGTCCTCAGTAAGTTTGCAAACCGTATTGTTATTTCCCAGCAGACAGGACAAACTGAGAAATCTACAAGAGATAAAAAGTTCTAAAAAAGGAAGTGATTATGCAGTGAGGAAAATGCTGCTGTGGTGGCTTCCTGAATATCAAATTCTAGGTTCTCATTAACATTGGGTTCTTTAAAAGAAAACACTGCACTGCTTACATTAGGATGGGGTTTGTGTACCCACCTCAGGACAAGCTCATAGCTTACGCAGCTTGTCCTAACCCTGGTTCCAAAATGATATTCTGATTTTGAACAGATGACCACCTGCACACGTGGATGCAAAATATCTTTCTGACTTATCCTGTAAGCACTAAAAATGTGATAAGACATTAAAAAAAGAGGGTTAAGAATACAAAGACAGAACAGCAAAAACCCTCCCCAGTAGCATATCATCCATCCTTTCAGCTTCTTCTCCTGTCTGATGGATTCTTCTCAGCAGTCTGGGCCCCTTGTGCTCTGTTGTTGGACATGGTAAAGAGGAAGGGTGGGAGGTTTGGTTGTGAAAAATGTCTGAATCAAGCTTGTCCCTGCCGTGGAGGAGGTCCCCTTTCCTCCTAAGGGGGTACCCTCACGCACTGACAGCGTCCTTCTCCTTCTTGTCACTGTCTTCATGCCAGGTGAGACGCTCCTCATAGAAGGCTATGACGATCTGTGGGCACTTTTGATTGGCCTCCTTGGCGAGCACAAGATCAGCCTCATCAGAGTCTTTCCTGCAAGAGATAAAGAGCAGCAAAATCTGTTCAGGTTCCGACAGAAAAAAACTGAATGATTGCCAAGTTCAGGTTGGGCTCAGTTCAGTTTCTCTAGGGCTTGGTGAGGTTCGAAAAAAAAATTTGCATCTTGAGGTTCACATTTTAATTAGCACAGTAAAAAAAAGGTTCAATTTACACTGAACTATTAGCAAAATGCAATTACAGTTTTGTTTTGATGTGTACTGCTTGTTAATTAATGGACAAGTAGGCTATTGTGGTGCTAATGAGCAATTTGCCAGTCGCAATGTGGCTCATTGAGATCTGCAGTTTCAAAGAATCGTGCCATTCAGGTTGAAAAGAAAAGTATTACAAACTGCTGAGGGTTGCACCCACAGTACCAGAGGTTTACACCCAGAAACCACAAGAGTTTTCAAACAAGTTTCACTAAACCTAAGCTTGTTCCACATGTTTGTGGTATCTGACATTTATTCACATTTAAAATCAACATACAATTGTCCTTTGAGGAATTTATCAACAAAACCTACCACTTCATAAGAAACATTAGGTCCCCACAGGAGTCAGTTGCTCCAATGATCTTCTCAGGCTCAAGTCCTCTTTCAAAGCCACGAGCAACTAGAATGTCTTCCTGCAAGACCGTGCAGAAAACCATTTATGTAGTACACACACACACACATAATAAAAACACAATATAATAACTAACATTGTAGACTCATTATGTTTGCATGTAGCAGCAAATTAATGCACTCACAATTCTTACAAAATTCTGCCTTTTTTTCCAACTTGTTTGATTTATTTAAGAAAATGTAATTAAGAATTATTTTTCAAAAGAACAAAGACTGTAAATCTCTCAGAACAAAAATGGGTTGATATGTCAAGGTCTAAGTAATACAAGGAAAGCTGTTCAAATATGTAGGAGTAAAAGTTTTTTTCTCTTCAAAGATGGCACTACCCTTGCATCTCACACATGCAAATTATCTATATTTACTTAACGATATCCTGTACACTGTAAATTTAGTTTGAACCAGAAAAAGTTTCCTAATGTATTCATCTAAAGTTGACAGTTATTTACTGCATGTACATACGTTTTAAATTCAAGACATAACCCAGATACAACATATTCCTCACCTCCTTTTTCTTTTTGGCTTTACTTCCACCTTCCTCGTCGTCATCTGAGCTTCTCTTTTTCGAGCTGCTGGAGTCTTTGGTCCGTCCCAAGGAGCCCATGCTTGATTTGCTGGCCCCGCTGCTTGGTGTGGAGCTTCCGCCGCCGCTGCTGCTGCTTTTCTTGTAGGTCTTCATGAATTCTGAAATAAGCTCCGGGCAATCTAGATTCTTCTCTGGCTCCCACGTGTTGTGCTTCCTGAGGAAGATCACAGTGCAGCAAGTCAGTGTCAGTACAGCCAGACATCTTAATCAATGGCACTGAAGAGAGATCGATAACCTAATCAATATGAAATCAAATATCAAAATTAATGTGAAACTTGACATCAATTCAATTGTTCATAACATTTAAATTTATCTTGTAACTTCTGTATTCTCTTCTTTTCCTGGCTTTTACAGTAGCATAACAGTAACCCGAAACCAATTTCCCGGTTAATGCGACTTAATGTTACAATTAATCTAGCTAATCTTCTATCTTATTAAAAGATAAAATGGCGAATAAAATAGTGAAACTGTTGGTTACAATTTCTCACAGCCATAGGTGATATGTTCCTATATTTGTGTTTTGTGCTAAGTCGAGAACCAAAGTTTAAATTCAGTTTTATCAAAAAATGGGTTCCTAAATGTCACATTTGTGTTATCTAACTTCATCTGCAGTCCAGCAGTGTTGATGATGTTGCTCCAAACTGCTTTGGAGCTTGAGCAGATGCTGTTAGCATTGTGTTAACATAACACTTACTCTGAGTATCCTTTCCACTTCAAGAAGAACTCAACTCTGCCCTTGACCACCCTCCTGTCCAGCACCTTCTCCACAACATATTCTTCCTCATCCGAGGATGAGGAGTCCTCTTCGCGAGACTTTTTGCCCATTGCGAGGTTTGTTGTTGTTGTTGAACACTAGGCTGGTGCAGGCCAAAGGTATTTACCCTGTGCGAGAAGAGATCACAGTGAAGCTAACGATAAAGAGCATGTAGGCTGATGGCCAGCGGATATATTCTGAACAAGCAACGTAAATAAGATAAATGAATAGTAGTTACAGGTCGGTGAGTTTTAACGTAAGCCAGCACTGCTTTGCTAAACTAGAGACGATCCTATTCCCACCACAGGCATCGTTTCATTGTCGTTTATCCAAACTGCTACATGCACCGACCAAATGGAAACATGCTTTATTAGTTAACCAGAGAAACCCTTTTCTGTGACTAGCAACTCACTTAAACACTTAATATTACACAGAGTTACCAGAAAACCTAGTAGTGACTACACACAAGCAAGAAGATACGATGTGTTGTTATAGCTAAGCAACTAGCTACCCGCTAGCTATGAAAAGCAACCTTGCTAGCACTAGCCGGCAAGCTAACGCTCCATCGAGCTAACTTTGGTATGAAACAAACGCACACTTACACAAACAGTCGCAGTATCGCGGCGCTGCTCTTGTGTGTGAAAGACCTCGCACCCTGTGGATGTGTGGACCGCCGGGTTAAGCCGAGAATCCGCAAACGATGGCGTGTGTCTTTCAGCGGACTGTAGTCTGTGAGGCCAACGCTGCAGCTAACTTAGCATCTAGCCTGCTTCTCATAGAGGTGTAGTGCGCTTGTCTGTGCGTAAAAAGCGCGCGTTTAAGACGCACAATGAACGTACCCGCCCCTCGGTCAGCTGATGACCTACATGTACACACACTTTATGCTTCCAGCGCGACCATAACTCAATTCTCCAAGAGTCAGATATCATAATAATAACATATCTGCAATTATGTCCACGTACACGAAGTGCAAATGTTATTGTGAGCGAGTTTGTGTACTGCACGTGAAATCCAACCATAAGTCAGAATCATCCAGGATCGGAGATATATTCTTTCACACTTTATTTTTTTTAAATGCACGCGTTCACTGTGATAACACCGAGCAGTGTTGATCGACCTGGCGGCACCTGAGAGATGCTCTGTCACACGCGACACCCATCGCCGCTACGTGTCTGGCGGTGGCTCTGTTCATTGGACGCTGCTGTTGATTGATTGATCTCGGTCCAATCAGGCAGCAATTGCGGCGGACGACAGACTGCAGCGGGAATCACGGGCCAATCAGAGCGCGACAGGGGTGTAAGCTTTCACTACTTATTGTACTGCTGAGCGGCCGCTGATCTCGCCTGACGCAGATCTCCTCCATCGGGTCGTTCACAGGGAGCCTCACAGTATCAAGACGCAACATGTCGAAAGATGTGAGTATTCCAACCCGGCCGCACCGTCTGTTTGTTTTGTAGGTCGCGTGTTGCAAAGTACGCAGGTAGACGCATATGTGTAAACACGTTGTGCAGCCTGCGCGTTCTTCAGCAGCCGCTGTTTGCTAGCCTTGTACCGCCGCCATTTTGTAGCAGCTGGGCCTCGTGTCCTATTGTTCACGCCGTTATTCCTGCGCAGATATTTGACGTTCGCCCAACGCTTCTACCCTCAGTTTGTAAACAGGGAGCAGCTGCTTCATTATGTCACCTTTGCCGTAAATGGTTGGTGCAAAGCAAATTAAAGGGAATAAATAATCCGAGCCGACTGCTAACGGTAATGGCGGCGACGTCGTCTCCCTCTTCCATCCTGATGTTTGATATGTGACGCAGGGTTGGATTAATAAATCATTGCAACTTCATTGATGCTCAAATTGCGCGATGTGAACCCGGTGATTACAGATATAATGTACAATGCTTCCTTTGTGTATGGTTGAATGTAGCCTGATGTTAATGTCCTTTGTCCATTGGCCAGGTCCCACGTGAGCCGGAGCAGCTCCGCAAGCTGTTTATCGGGGGTTTGAGCTTCGAGACCACAGACGAAAGTCTGCGAGCTCATTTTGAGAAATGGGGGAGCCTCACAGACTGTGTGGTAAGTAGTCAGAGCTTCAACCATTGTGATCACGGTTTAGAATTTCAGTGGCTTTTATTTCCAGACAGCAAGCACTTGCGTGTCATCTACTCTTTCTGCCATTGAGGGAATGATCTATGCAGACAGACAACGTGCTTTGTGGTTGTATATATTCGTTTCTTTTTATATAATCAATTTGTGATAGAACTGGCACATGAGTCAATTCTAGCTCCACAGTTCAATACATCCACCACCCTACAGTGGGTAATAATTAGACACCAACAGAGGTTTAGATGTTAATGGTTTGCATATGGTTGAGCTGATAATGGTTATGCTCAGGTGAGGAGGTATGTCCGCACGCTGCACAGTTTTATGCCAACACCATTTTGAAGCTCATTACCTAATTATCATTGTATGACTGCTGTATATGCACCCTTTAGCTAGGTCTATGATACTATACTAACTTCTTCAGGTCATGAGGGACCCCAACACCAAGCGATCCAGGGGCTTTGGATTTGTCACATACTCATCGGTGCAAGAAGTTGATGACGCCATGAATGATCGCCCTCACAAGGTTGATGGACGTGTGGTGGAGCCTAAACGAGCCGTATCTAGAGAGGTATGTGTCTCTGCACAATGAACAAGTGAATATGTCTTCCATGTACAGGTAGATGGGCACAGTCAAATCATCAAATGTTTTTCACAGGATTCAAACCGACCAGGTGCTCATGTGACGGTAAAGAAAATCTTTGTTGGAGGCATCAAGGAAGATACGGAGGAGTGTCACCTACGTGATTACTTCCAGCAGTTTGGCAAGATCGAGGTCATTGATATCATGACTGATCGCGCTACTGGAAAAAAGAGGGGCTTTGCCTTTGTCACTTTTGATGACCACGATTCAGTCGACAGGATTGTCAGTGAGTAGAAATGTTTGTTGTTGCATGTTGTGCCAAATTTCAGTAATTGTCTTTATTGGCTATTAAATCGGTTCTCTTGTCTCACAGTCCAGAAGTATCACACCGTGAACAGTCACAACTGTGAAGTGAGGAAGGCCCTTACAAAGCAGGAAATGCAGACAGCAGGCATGGGTATGAGGGGTACGAGCACCTTTCTTCAGTGACCCCCTGATCTTAATATACAGTGACAGTGAAAGCTGCGGAGTAATGGGTTTATTTTTCCTTTTTAGGTCGCGGCAGTGGTGGAAGGCCGTATGAGTATGACAGGGGCTTTAATCAGGGTAAGATTTCATTGACATTGAAATTTCCCTTTTCTATTTTGAACTGTACCGTTCTGTCTAAAACATAACTTTGTGTGGTTTGATTTCAGGTGGTAGGGGGGGTAGATACGGAGACAGCCCTTACAATTGCAATGGAGGCGATGGTGGTAAGCAGGCATTTTTCTCAGGTATTAAGAGTTTTTGCAACGGAAATTTTACAGTGTACTCAAAAGTTATTTATGATGCAGGCTACGGAGATGGTCCCAGCGGTCCTGGTGGATATAACAATGGCGGCAACCGTGGCTACAACCAAGGCTACAACCAGGGTGGCGGTGGCGGCGGCAGTGGAGGCTACGGAGGAAATGGATATGAGAGCAATGGCTATGGCAACTGCGGTGGTGGTGGAGGAGGCGGTGGTGGTGGCAACTACAACATGGGCCACTACGATCCCCAGGCGTCCAACTTTGGACCAATGAAGAACAACTTTGGAGGCGGCAGTGGTGGCAGGAATTTTGGTAAGTTTGGAGATGGAAAGTAAATTACCTGATTGATGCCGTAATTCAGCATTGTGTGTGTAAAACATATGTTGTCTTGCTTTCAGGTGGCTACGGAGGTGGCTCAAACGGTGGTGGATATGGCCGTCAAGGACGATTTTAAAGTGAACTGGTAAGGACATAAAGGGCATTCCTGCTCAGTATAATTTGTATCATAAAACCAGAGTTTGTAGTCGCAGGGAATGGTTAAGTGCAGATAACTATTAAAAAATCACTCTGGATCTCAGGTCATACAAAGTCAGTACACGGTTAACAATGTTGTTCCATATTGTTCAACAGGACTGAGTACTTAGGAGAGGAGAGCAAGGAGAGGAGAGCAAGCGAAGTGACAGGGCAGCTGCAGGTTTACCTCCTAAATCTGCTCAGCCAAACATTTGTGGCAGGTTACACCTGCTGCAAGAGATGTACAGTAGATGTATCATGGAGGGTCTTCATTTAAAGATTTGTTTTTTCTTTTCATCAAGATGTGTCTGGAAAGCAAGCATTCCAATGAGGTTTTATGTAGATTTTTCTTTGCGTCTGGTTTTATTTGTAACTGCATCAAGTCAAGCTGAAATAAACCAACTTTCAGTTGTTTTTTACAAAACAGTCTTGTTAGCCTCTTCAGTGCATTGGGAAAGGGAGGGGTCATATTTGCATACTGTGAGTCATTTCTGTGAGATCTTCAAGAACTGCACAATTCACCATGAATCAATAGTCAATACATGACTACAAATGCGTCACGGGTTGAGGAATGAGAAGCCGCAATCTTCAGAAAGAGTCCATCACATGGTACAGACTGAGTTCTGCAAAGATCACCTGGAGGCTGCTAGCTTACATGCAAAGTCTTTGAGGCTAGCCATGGAAGCCAGCTGAGGGAGAGAAGTAGCAAAGCCATCGCCAGGATCATTGAAGCAGGGGAGAGTGAGAACAGCTAGCAGGCAGCAGCTACCAAAAGGCTTAAGTGCTCTCTGTAGGTAAGACCAGACTTCTCAACTACTGATAGTAATGTTTTTGTCATGTAGCTGGTAGTAAGTTGTGTAGCCCAGTAATTACGTAACAATTGTGCAAAATTTTATTATGACACCACTGAATGGTAAAATTGGCCTCTTAAACTTTGCATTGAGGTCCTGCAACAAATTGCATGCTAATAATAAAATAAACATTTTTTTGAAAGACTGCATTTTACTTATTTGGTGTTTCTGCTTTCTAGGTGAACTCCACACATGGTCCCCAAGTCCTGATTTCTTTTTCAGTGACTTTCGCTCAATAAGGTACAAAAACAAACTGCACAACAAAGTTTCACCTTTTGCTACAATAAAACCTGATCATTTGTTTCTCCCCTCCACAGGTTTTCTTGAACAATCATGCTGGTGCTGAAGATTTTTTAAAAACTATTTTTAACTGCTGTGCAGTGTCTTTTTTAAACTTTTTTAAAAATAAATTATTTGAAAAAAAAAAGTCTGGTTTCAGTCCATTTTAATATGAAGTGTCCTGTTGTATCTATGGCAAGTTATACATTTAAAGGTTTATACAGAACTGTAACTGAATGAATTCATCTTCCAGTCAGATGAAGTGGTTTTAATTGGCACACTCGGGTATAAATAATGAAACTCAAGAACCGGTTCTTCAGCGCTGTCCTCCCTTAGTTGTGTGAGGTACCAGGTAAATTTTTCCATCAGGTGTCTGTTGCAGGGAGTATTCATCTATCGAGTATGGTTGTCCGTCTTCGTCTCGCAAGTGAGTGAAAACTTCAGCATAGAGGTCTGTGAGGCGGCATTTAATGAAGGTCAGGCTGTGCTGGAACTCCAGTCTCTCCTGCGCCAGGTGCTCTCGCTGGGCCTGCAGCTCATTCAGCTCTTGTTCAAGGTGAATTATACTTTCAAGCTTCCTCTTCCTGCAATTCTGAGCCGCCACCTTGTTCTTCCCCCGCCTCCTGATGTCCCTGACCAGTGCCATTTGGGTGTCTGTCAAGGTGAAATGTGTCAGGAGCTCATTGAAGTCGTCTACAGGGAGATTGATGATCTTCTCCATGGGGAAAGGAATCTTCAGAGCCAATGCCCGCCGCTCGTCCCTGCTCAGCGGTGCAGTCGTGGAGCTGCTTCCTTGTGGCTTTGTGTATATGTTCAGTTGTGAGCTCCCTCTGCTGGATACTCCAGATTCAGAGTACATGTCATTCAGAACAGCAGCCTGGCTCTGATGCTTTATTTGTCGCAGGGTTGCTGTATCAGGTTGTGTATGAGATAAAATGTTCTGGGGTGAGAAATTGGACTGATGTGCACCTGAGTGTAAATATGACTGTCCCTGGTAGTTGACTGAGCAATGGAGTTGTGCTCTTCTGGCATTCTCAGGTGCACCATCACTGTATGTAATGCCTATGTCTACACTCCGGTAACCTGGAACAGCACTGACAGGATTATCAGGGGAGGCCAAAGGTGGACTGGAACCCAGAGACAGACCCGAGTCTGACTCCAGATCATCAGTTGGAAGAATGTGTGAACTTTGTCCGTGTGTAGTCCACTGCATGTGCCGACTCGGACCCTGAGACAAACAATTGTTTGCTCTCCTCTGTCCGTATCGATCACCTGACATGTTCATCTGTTCCCTAAGAGCCATGAGTGAGGGAAATACTTGAGAGGAGACAGGGTGCATTCTTTGATTGAGCTGATATTCAGAGTGTCCATACACTGCCCCTGTGTTGCTGCCTTGATGATGACACGTGGGCACGTCTTCGGAGTAACATCCATTGTAAGTGTCAGCAGAGCTGAGCTCACAGGCGGGAGGACGCTCGGAGTGAGATGGGGCCATCCCGTACCCTGCCATAGGGTCCATGGTGTCCATGGTTGGGTACTGTGTTGTTTCATAGGGTCCTTCAGCAGGGACTTCAAACTCCTGCAACAGACACACAAGGAGCACAGCTAGCTATGATTGATGGACATACATAAATGTCACTTCAACAGAAGAACAGCAAAATGATAGAAGATACTTAATATTTATTAGTGAAGCCAAGAATTTAACACAATCTAATTTGCCATAGAGTACAGTTTACCCCACTTCAGCATGCCACCCCAGGCCCATGAGGGGCTTTCATAGATGTGATCAAGTTTCACCTGGAAACAAATGGCTATTGTGCGGTGCAGGGGGCCGCCAGAATCATGCAGCACTTGCTCCCCTCTCACAATCTCTCCATCCTGCCATTACTCAAATGGGCCATTGTTGCCCATATCCCCAGAGTGTGTAATAGTTTTCCAACACAAAGCATCACATGTGAATTGATAGAGATGTATGTATGTATGTATTCACTGTTTTTATTTATGATCCACAGCTGTTGTATTGTATTCAACATGACACTTAATTGAACCCCTTTCACAATAAAGTTAAACTAATTAATCAAATTAACTGATAAAATATTTTCTATTATATTGACTTATTCACTATTACCCAAAATGCACAATACATTTGATATATTATTCTTTCATGCATAGAAGTTCTTACATGCACAAATATGCCATATGTCCATGATAAGTGAGTGTAAACTTCCAACCACACTAATTTGTATGAATGTGCACAAGCAACATTTTTCTATATTTTTTGGCTTTTGCTTTTTTTGCATTGTCTCACAGTGACCTTTTGTACAGAATATTGTAATCTGATGCACATATTTTAACAAACTGTCTATGTTATAGTCATTATATTTTGCATTTCTCTTTCTCATTGTTTTGGTCAGTATACATTTATATTTGTGGCTTAGGTGACTGTATTGAAACTCAATTTCCACCTAAGCCTCAAAGTGTTTCTGACTCTGACATCTCTCAATATTCTGCAATAAAAGAATCCTATTTTTTTACACAGTGATACTTTATAGTGTCAGTTTTTCCCAGTTACCTGCAGCTCTGAGATGGCCATCAGTTCCTGCCAAGCTGCATCCATCTCTGTGTCCTGAGGTCCATGAGGCCTGGCTCCAGGGAAATTTGTCGGCGTGGGCACTCCTCCACACACCCTCCCTGGAGCAGCTTGAGTCTTGTTATAGACAAGAAAATAATTTCTATCAAACATCTCACTCCGAAGTCTTGAGTGACGCGCGATTGTGTGTTGTGTTGTCCCACTTCTTGCCTCACCTACCTCACAGGTTCTCCTCAGTGGGAGAACATAGTTGGCTGTTGAACACATTCAGGACAGGCTCTTGCTGCAAAAACACAACCTGGTGGAGACACCAAACAGCCGGTTATTATGACCTCTATGCTGCCGTGCAAGAAAGAAGAAGTATAAATGGAAAAAAAAAACATTAAAACAAGCTAAGTGTGAACTGTTAAGTCACAGCCCTTCCAATGTCAAATATAACAGCACATTACATGTCTGCAAGGCTGGAGGATATGAATGACTGTTTGGGTGTTGTGTGAGTTCTTTTGGAGCACATGAAGGGTTCAGTTTAGTTGAGTTGACTCCTCCCATCAGCTGTCCCGGGGTGCAGCAATGCCAACCCCTGATAAGACAATCTGCGGGAAAACAGCGTGCTCTAAAAGATAGAATGGGGCCTGATGGCTACTGCAGAAAATTTGGTGTATGGCTAAGACATCTGCAGAGATCATCACATAAACTACTACTACTCCTAAACTATACAGTATTATAGTTTTTCTTACTTTTCCATTTAGTGTTTAAGATGTTTTTAGACTTATGAAGATAATCAGAAGTTCATTAAAATAAGTAAATTTGCCTTGTCCAAGACATA